AACGCTTGGGGACAGGCCGTTGATCATCGGAGCTGTCACCCCCAGCAGGAGGCACCCGAGAGGAGCCGGCGGCAGGCCGCCCCACAACCGGGGGAGCACGTCCCCGCAGAACGTCAGCCTCAACAACACGGGGGACGAGACCGCCACCCACAGAGGAGACGGGAGAAGGAACAGGCGCGGCCGCAGAAGGGGAAGGGTCCAACACAGTTGAGGGAGCCTGCAGAGACGTCAGAGGCGCAGAGTCGGAAACAGGTGCAGAAGCCGGTGGAAGCGACGAGACAGACTGCGGGGGCGGAGCCGCACACACCAACACCTGGTCGTGTACACCACCATGCACACACACCGGGCCAACAGCCACCACCGGGTCAGCAGGCGGCAGGGGAACCTTCCCACCCACTCCATCACGAGGCGACAGGTCCTGCGCCACCAACGGGGGTAAAATCCTCGTCACGGAACAAATTAACAGGTGCAGTCTCGACCCCAGTGCAATCAGATGCCCCTCAATGCCACAACGAAAACATTGTCGAGGCTGTCCAGCGTTGAACGCCCGCATGGTGTAGCCCATCAAGGTCACCGCGGAGGGAACAGAAGACTTGAGCCGCAGGCCGAGAGTCCGGGTCCCACACGAGACACCATGCCACCTGCCAGCAGAGACGGAGTTCATCCGGATGGAAACGACAGTCCCAAACTGGCCAAAATACCGTCGAAGCAAAGCCTCCGTGAATTCAAACGGCACACCATGCTGGGCCACATACGTTACTGAGCAGCACCAGACAGATATAGTGACGGTACCACCGTCCCCAGGGAGAGGAAGAGAGCGCCCATCGTAACGGGCCACGAAGTCTCTATAAACAGCAGCGGAGTGAAACTTAACAAGTGCCCGATGGGTGGACAGCAGATGGAGCCCGTACACATCGGCAACTCGCACACGCAGCATATCCAACAGGACAATCTCAAGGGCCAGGTAAGACGCACGTCCAGAAATTCCAGACCCACGGTCTCAGAGCGGCGAATAGTGGGGAGGGGGGTCTCCATGGCGCCGACGCAACACCACCCTCCCACATGGAACGCCAAGCAACAACTGGGGAGCGCTTGGCGAGTGTGCGCGCTCCAGTGTGCTTGCACACACAATTAGTGTGTGCAAGCACACCTGCACACACTAATTGCATGTATTAGTGTGTGCTTGCATGTAATGGTGTTTGCTTGCTTGTATTTGTGTGTGCTTTCATGCACAGGTGTGTCCTTGTATGTGCTTATTTGTACTAGTGTGTGCTTGCATGTACTGGAGTGTGCTTGCTTTTACTAGTGTGTGCTTGCATGTATTGGTGAATGCTTGCATGTATTAGTGTGTGCTTGCATATACTGGTGTTTGCTTGCTTGTACTGGTGTGTTTGCATGCCCTTGTGTGCTTGATTGTACTGGTGTGTTCTTGCTTGTACTGTTGTGTGTGTTTTTGTACTGCTGTGTGCTTGCCTGTACTGGTGTGTGCTTGCCTGTACTGGTGTGTGCTTGAATGTACTGAGGTGTCCTTCCATGAACTGGGGTGAGATTGCATGTACTGGTGTGTGCTTGCATATACTGGTGTGTGCTTGCATGTACTGGTGTTTGCTAGCTTGGACTGGTATGTGCTGGCTTGTACTGGGGTGTCCTTGCATGTACTTGTGTGTATGCTTTCATGTACTAGTGTGTGCTTGCATGTTCTGGTGTATGCTTGCATGTATTGGGTGTGCTTGCATATAATGGTGTGCTTGTATGTACTGGAGTGTCATTGCATGTACTGATGTGTGCTTGTATGTATTGGGTGTGCCTGCATGTACTGGGGGGTGTCCTTGCATGTACTAGAGTGTGCTTTTATGTACTTGTATGTGCTTGTTTATACAAGTTCAAGTTCAAGTATGTTTATTGAGATAAGCAATAAATACATCTCAAAGGGATAGAGTAGCTTAGGCTATTTCTACCCCCCCTTGTTTATACTAGTGTGTCCTTGTATGTACTGATGTGAGCTGGCGTGTACTGGTGTGTGCTTACCTGTACTGGTGTGTGCTTGCCTGTACTGGTGTGTGCTTGCCTGTACTGGTGTGTGCTTGCCTGTACTGGTGTGTGCTAGCTTAGACCGGTGTATGCTGGCTTGTACTGGGGTGTCTGTGCAGGTACTGGTGTGTGTGCTTGCATGTACTGGAAGGCATTGCATGTGCAAGTCGGTGCTTGCATGTACTGGGGTGTGCTTGCATATGTGTGCTTGCATGTACTGTAGGTGTGCTTGCATATGTGTGCTTGCATGTACTGGAGTGTTTGCATATAATGGTATGCTTCTATGTACTGGGGTGTCTTTGCATGTACGTGTGTGTGCTTGCTTGTACTCGTGTGCTTGTATGTATTGGTGAATGCAAGCTTGTACTGGGGTGTACTTGCATGTACTGGAATGTGCTTGCATGTACTGGTGTGTGCTTGTATGTACTGGTGTGTGCATGCATGTACTGGGGTGTCCTTGCATGTACTGGAATGTGCTTGCATGTACTGGTGTGTGCTTGCATGTACTGGTGTGTGCTTGTATGTACTGGTGTGTGCTTACATTTACTGGGGTGTGCTTGCTTGGACTGGTGTGTGCTTTGCAGGTATTAGTGTGTGCTTGCATATACTGGTGTTTGCTTGTACAGGTGTGTGCTTACATGCACAGATGTGTACTTATTTGTAATAGTGTGTGCTTGCATGTAGTGGAGTTTGCTTGTTTGTACCAGTCTGTGCTTGCATGTACTGGTGTCTTTGCATGCCCTGTTGTGTGCTTGCTTGTCCTGCTTAGGGCTTGCATGTACTGGTGTCTGCTTGCATGTACTGGTGTCTGCTTGCATGTACTGGTGTCTGCTTGCATGTACTGGTGTCTGCTTGCATGTACTGGTGTCTGCTTGCATGTACTGGTGTCTGCTTGCATGTATTTGTGTTTGCTTGTACTGGTGTGTGCTTATTTGAACTAGTGTGAGGTAAGGGGCAGGTGTGAGGTAAGGCGCAGGTGTGAGGTAAGGAACAGGTGTGGGGTAAGGAACAGGTGTGAGGTAAGGAACAGGTGTGGGGTAAGGGGCAGGTGTGAGGTAAGGAACAGGTGTGGGGTAAGGGACAGGTGTGAGGTAAGGAACAGGTGTGGGGTAAGGGGCAGGTGTGAGGTAAGGAACAGGTGTGGGGTAAGGGGCAGGTGTGAGGTAAGGAACAGGTGTGGGGTAAGGAACAGGTGTGGGGTAAGAAACAGGTGTGGGGTAAGGAATAGGTGTGGGGTAAGGAGCAGGTGTGAGGTAAGGAGCAGGTGTGAGGTAAGGAGCAGGTGTGAGGTAAGGAGCAGGTGTGAGGTAAGGAGCAGGTGTGAGGTAAGGAGCAGGTGTGAGGTAAGGAGCAGGTGTGAGGTAAGGGGCAGGTGTGAGGTAAGGAGCAGGTGTGAGGTAAGGAGCAGGTGTGAGGTAAGGAGCAGGTGTGAGGTAAGGAGCAGGTGTGGGGTAAGGAGCAGGTGTGGGGTAAGGAGCAGGTGTGGGGTAAGGAGCAGGTGTGGGGTAAGGAGCAGGTGTGGGGTAAGGAGCAGGTGTGGGGTAAGGAGCAGGTGTGTGGTAAGGAGCAGGTGTGGGGTAAGGAGCAGGTGTGGGGTAAGGAGCAGGTGTGGGGTAAGGAACAGGTGTGGGGTAAGGAACAGGTGTGGGGTAAGGAACAGGTGTGGGGTAAGGAACAGGTGTGGGGTAAGGAACAGGTGTGAGGTAAGGAACAGGTGTAACGTAAGGAGCAGGAGTGAGGTAAGGAGCAGGTGTGAGGTAAGGAGCAGGTGTGAGGTAAGGAGCAGGTGTGAGGTAAGGAGCAGGTGTGAGGTAAGGAACAGGTGTGAGGTGAGGCGGTGGGTTTTTATACTTCAAAAATACACAAAAATTTTCACAGATTTGTATTATTTATTGAAATTTATATATTTACCCATTTGATAGAAATTGGTGATATTAGAACTAAGCAGTCTTAATGAAGCAGAACTTTGACTTCATCTAATAAAATAAAATAAATAAAATAAAAATAAAATGTATTTACGTAAAAGTACATACAAACATATTGAGTTATAAACAGAATGTTGGAAATTTACATAGAGCTGTTATATACAATGCTTAAGGCACTAATACGCACAGGTTTTCGGGCAAGAGGTAGGTGAAAAAACTTATAAACTACCAATGATCTACAGTGTCATCTTACAGGGGGCTTCCTGTAAGTGGTGAGACTTATTACTGTTGAGTAAGTATGGTGGCTGAGGGAAGGTGCAGTTTGTCGCTCACAATATTTGAACGACACAACACCCCTTTCTTGTGGGGTGTTGATCCTAATGTGGTGTTGATCCTAATGTGGTGATCATCCCCAATGTGATATGGATATTCCCAATGGTGTGTATGTGTGGATATCCTCAATATCCCCAATGTGATATGGAAGAAAATGCAGAATAGAACCAGTGAAGAGCAGAGGTGCCATTGGCACAATCAGAGAACACTGTATAAACATCAGAGGTCTACGGTTGTTCAACATCCTCCCAGCGAGCATAAGAAATATTGCCGGAACAACCGTGGACATCTTCAAGAGGAAACTAAACTCTTTTCTAAAAGACGTTCCGGACCAACCGGGCTGTGGTGGGTATGTGGGCCTGCGGGCCGCTCCAAGCAACAGCCTGGTGGACCAAACTCGTAGGTCAAGCTTGGCCTCGGGCCGGGCTTGGGGAGTAGTAGAACTCCCAGAACCCCATCAACCAGGTATCAACCAGGTGGTATTAATCCCAATGTGGTGTTGATCCCAATGTGGTACTGATACCAATGTGGTGTTGATCCTAATGTAGTGTTGATACCAGTCGCCTCGGGCTAGTCTCGTGCAGTTAGGTTCTATTGGCCAGTAGTATTTGCAGTACGTGGGTGAATCATTTATAGAAGTGGGACTCGAGCAGAATACGTGAACGAAGCGCTGGAGGAAAATACATACATCATCAGTTGTGAAGAGTGTGTGTTTGGTGACTGGATTAAGGAGCATTTGGCATGTGTTGATGAGGAGGGGTTGATATAAGAGAGCGCGGGGAGTGTGGCTTCACCACTCAGAGAAGATGTCCTCCAAGGTGCTGCCACTTCTCCTACTGCTGGCCGCTGCCGGTGAGATCCTCCTCTCGTTACTTTAAGTGTTTCTAAGATGCATTTTCTAACAACCGAACCGTTCAGTGTTATCCTATCACATCTATGGCATATCTCGGTGATATATCAGTTAAATTTTATTTATATATTAATGTATTTAAAAACCTGAAAGTAATAATGGGTCATTAAATAAGAATCAGACTTCAGAGGGGTTTGACACGAGGAAAGCTGTCAATGTATTAATGTTTACCTCATCACAAATGACGTAAAATTTATGAACATGTGTGCCCGTGTACAGGGAGAATACAGCCAGTGTGTAGGTTACATGTTATCCCCACCACCTGGTATACAGGCTGTGGGGTTGATAAGATAAATACAGGTATGTATACCTGCTGATGCTCATACACATCCCGTGCGTGCCATGCTGTTTTGTTCAGTGTCTTGTGTACATCTTATTGACTTCTTGTAGACAAAGACGTCTTGCAGACAGACGTCTCGTAGACATCTAATAGACGTCTCGTAGACATCTAATAGACGTCTCGTAGACATCCAATAGACGTCTTATAGACATCCAATAGACGTCTTGTAGACATGTAACAGACGTCTTGTAGACATATAACAGACATGTGGATATTACACCACTCATAGCTCTACTATTCAACAAATCTCTAGTGTCATACTCTTCCTGATATCCTTGAAAAAGCAAGAGTAACGCCAGTTCATAAAGGAGGCGAGACAGCTGACATAAACAATTACAGACCAATAACAAATCTACCGCTACTCTCAACAATATCTGAAAAAATTTCTTTACAAACAGCTCTACTCCTACCTCGTAAACCTCAACATATTAAGTCCTAGTCAGTTCTCCTTCCGCTCCCTAAAAAGTACCAACAATGTCATTATTAGTCTGATGTAATCTAAACAGACCTTAAAAAAAAAATGAGTTCCGAATTGGCCTCTTCATTGACCTGAGAAAGGCCTTTGTTACCATAAATCATAACTACATCTTATACTTTATCACTATGGAGACCGAGGCCTTGCCCTGAACTATATTAAGTCAAACCTTAGTGACAGTCACCAATGGGTCAACTTGTCCTCTTACAAAGAACGTCGCATTTCGATCATATGCGTTACATAAAGCCAAAAAATGGTCGTACTGAAAACTGGAAGCCGCTCGCGAAAGTGAGGTACTGTCCCGTTTTCTGTTTTGGGTCCTCTGGTAGGTTAGGAAAGGAATCTTTAATTAGACCGTTTTCTTGAGCTTGGGAAGCCTTATGTGGACGGCTGGATATGTAGTCATCAATGACATAACGCCCCGACTCTACCGTTAGCCGTAGGAGTGCCACAGGGCAGTATCTTAAGACCTCTTATTTCTTATGTACATCAATGATTTGCCAAATGTCTCTAACGTTCTTAAACCTGTATTATTTGCTGACACACTGCCTTCATCTAATAATAATAATAATAATAATAATAATAATCTGTTCAAATCCCAAACCACATACTATAAATAATATTGTAAATAACGAATTGAAAAATGTAAATTCATGGATGTCAACCAACAAACTCAAACTAAACACACAAAAAACTTACACTTTGTTTGCAAGCAAATCATCAAACCAAATTCACCGTCACATAGACAATGTCAACACTAATAGTAAAAATGAAATGAAAGTTCATTGGACTCTATATAGACAAGAGACAACTTCAATACTCACGTACTCACAAAGGGGGTACTGACACAAGGGGACACAGGTGAAAGCTGAGTACCCAAATGAGCCTCAGAGACATTAGAAAGAATTGTTTCAGTGTCAGAGTAGTTAATAAATGGAATGCATTAGGCAGTGATGTGGTGGAAGCGGACTCCATGCACAGTTTCAAATATAGATATGATAGAGTTCAATAGGCTCAGGAACCTACACACCAGTTGATTGACAGTTGAGAGACGGGACCAAAGAGCCGAAGCTCAACCCCCACAAGCACAACTGGTGAGTACAACACAGCCAAAAAGTCACTAAAACTGTTGGCGTATATTCTCTAAAATCAGATATTATGTCCCCCACTCTGCTCTCCTCTCATTATACACCAGCATCATTGATTGATTCTTTCTTTATTATGTAACACCAGCACCATTAGGCACAAAATCTGCTGTCAGAATTATAATAAACAGTCTTCAGACAACACACAGCCCCGCTGTTTATGTCTATAAATATGCTAACCATATTCTCACCCCACATATTCTCCTGTGTTATTTATGCATACACATTATTCCTAGATTATAATTCTGAATTGAAACTCTCCCCTCATAAATGTAATAGAACCCCTGAGCACCATACCAGAAATAAATATATATTTTATATCCCCAGAGTCAGACTAAATCTGTGCCAATACTCCATGCAAGTAAATGAACTCAGTCTATGGACCTCACTCCCTAATGAATTAATAAGGGCTCAACCTATACAGTATTCAAAAGTAAAACCAAAAAGTACCTAATTTCATCCTCACAGTTCCCCACCTTGTGCTACTAACTCACACTGTACCTTGTGCACTACTCGCTCACCCAATTTTTGTACTTAAGACATACAATTTCATAAGTATAACCTATTCTATCACGTTATAATGTAGCTATTATGTTGTATTCAAATTGTTATAATGTATTTATTATTCATTTATTGTTAGATTCAGGACCAGCCGTGAGGTGTGTGGCTTAGTAAGACTGTAACAATCACCCATGTATGTATTCCCACAGTCCGATGTACTTTCTTCTACTGTATATAGGTAAATAAATAATAAATATACACGCACTGGCATTGGTGTGATACCCACGAAATTAATTACACCAGTTATCCAAAACTAACGGACATCCTACTGACGATGGTAATATTGTCTTCTCTTCCTCCTCCTTCTCCTCCTCCTGGTGGTGCTGCTGCCGATGTGCCGCCTCCTCCTGGTGGCTGGGCGGTGGTCCATCAGCTGAAGCACAGTGGGAGTGTACAGCTTACCAGTGCGCTGGTGAAGACAAGTGTATTCCTTCACGCTACGTTTGTGACGGCTGGCTCGACTGTCAGGACGGCGACGATGAGTCCCAGTGCAGTAAGTGAGTCATATTTGTTCTCCTGTGACCTCGAATAGTGAGCAATATGATCTTGAGGGAAGTGTAAGGTGACCTTGAGGGTTGTGCAAGACGAGACCCGTAATAAGTTCCTCAACACTGCTACAACAGCCGAACTTGTTGTAAGAGGATCCTACTTGCTCAAGAGACGCCAGGAATCATCAAGATTTGTCATTCCACGTACATGTCCTTTCCTCAATCATGGCGGCTTTGTTTACCTTTATTACACAGTTTACGAGCTCGGAAGCACTACGAGGCTGTCCATAGCAGCCATGACCGTGGGTCCACAACGACCTCGCAGTGGTCCCAAGCTCGTAAAATAACATAGCCGCCATGATTGAGGAAGGATGTACATGTCTCGCAAGACGGCACGTCAATGTTTCATTAATCATGCTCCTGAACTTTCTATGAGATGCTCATGTAAGTAAGGTAACTTACGACACGTTCATGTAACATGATACCTGCTGTGGCAGGTTTAAACGTTAGCTTCCTGTTCCAAAAGGAATCTTTACTAGAGAGTTCAGACAGCTGTGCTGAGCGACAATACCTCCCCCTGGATGACTCCTGGTGTTGGACCAGTAGACCTCAACGAAAAGTTCACATTGTCCTCGCGTGCTGCTGGTTAAATTAGTCCATTGCTTGTCATGCAGATCCTAAATGTCTTCAATTTCAAAATTTGTAACACTTGTTTTGTACCTTAACATTTCTCGGATCCTCCCCGGTATTTACGGGCTCTGAAACCATTCAAAATGTTATGTATGCACCTGTGTTAACCAAAACCAGCTGGGGGCCCCATTCTAGAGGTTTGTGGGACACGTGGAAGACCACACTAGCAGGGGCACTTGCTAGAGCCCCCAAATACCAAGGGGGACTTTGCCTAAGGAGTTTAAAGTGTGCTGTCATCTAGTCTGTCTTTCAGCGCACTGCAACGAAGGTTTCTATCGATGCGAGACGTCTAAGAACTGCATCGTAGAGCACTTCATCTGTGATGGCGTTGAAGACTGTGTTGGTGGTGACGACGAACTTAACTGCAGTAAGTTTTTTTTGAGGGTTCTAAAGTTGTAAACCACTATGACTGGTCGGTACAGCGACGGCCTTGCTTCTTGCAGCCCCCTCCCCATCCGGCCCGTTGGCGTCGTGAGGGGGCTTGGTGGACGGCTGTCGGAGTGTGATGCTCCGTTGGGCAGTCCTCTGTCCTTTTCTGACCTTGCACTCCTGCTGCTGTCTTCTCCAATTGTGCCGGATCGCTTTTCCTTTTTCTTATGTTTCGTCTTTCTCCCCCCTCTTCTCCTATCTGCTTGTCATTTCCTGCCGACCTTTTGCTTGTTTTGGATTATTTCTATGGACTTCTTCTATTTTGACGCCCGGGTGCTTGAGGAGGCATACTCTTGCACCCGTAGAACTGTAGTACCCAACGTCTCGAGCGAGGGGAACCTTTTATTGTCAATCCCCCTTTCGTCGCTGAACCCGATCTCGACGGACTGACGGTTCTTAAGGTGGCGTTTGTGGGGCGTATACTCACGACGCACCCCTAGGGGGCCCCGGCATGGTCGGCGATAGCTTCCTGTTGGGTGTCCTGCCTCTAATTGTGGCTCCATGGTGGGTATGGGGGCACATTCGTGGATGAATTTGTCACTTTTCGTCTCTGTCGTTGAATGTTTCCGTTGTACCCTCTCAGGCTCGTGGGGTGGGCGACCAAGCCCCCGAGTCGGCCTGTATTGGAAGACCAGGCTCTGTAGCTCCCGCTGCGTTGGGCCCCGACCTTGCTCCTCCTTTGACCGTCCTGACTTCTTCCCCCAGCTCCCCTCCCTCCTCTGTGGTTGGGTCGAGCCTCCAGCCCCCGGTGGTGACCACTTCGTCCCCTGGTGTGGCTAAGTCTTTCGTTGTGACTACTGCGCCTTTTGACCCCTCTCTCTCTAGGGGTTCTCAACACCGTTCGCGCCCCAACCGCACTCGCTGGATTCCTTCCCGTGCTGATGCGTATCAGGCCTTGTTTGGTCCTGCTTCATGGGCCAAATACTTTGATCTCCTCCCTCTTGATTCTGCGCCTCCTGACGATTTCTCCCTCCATCGGCATCTTGTAGATTCCGTGGATGCGTCTGTTACTTTCAACCCCACTCGTCTCGGTACACGTGTCGTTGCTGCTCCTTCTCAGGATGCGGCTTCCCGCTTGGCTGCCTTATCTTGCCTTGGCGAGATCCCTGTTCGGGTCTCCAAGAACGTTCAGATGAATGCCAGTGTTGGCACTATTCTCCTCCCACCCCATGTTGCAACCGGTGTTCGGAATCTGCAGGATTGCCACGATGATATTCGGCATATCCTTCATGCCCAAGGCCATTCTGTCCTCCAGGTTGACTCGTTTACTCGTCCCCCTCGTGGTCGTCGCCGTCAACCCCTTCGCGTTGTGAAGATCACCTTTGATGGTAGGACCCTTCCATCCTCTGTCATTCTTGCTGGTGCTAGGTGCTCTGTCCAGGAGTATATACCTTCTCCTCGACTTTGTAACAAGTGCTGGAGGTTTGGGCATGGTGCCCTCCGCTGCTCTGGGACTGTCTCTCTCTGTCCTTTGTGTGGGAGTGAAGGTCACTCTAAGTCGGAGTGCACTTCTCCCCAAGCTCGCTGCCTCAACTGCGGTGAGGCCCATCCTACCTTCTCCCGTGCCTGTGTCCATTACAAGCTTGAGGCGGCCGTCCTTAACCTGAAGCACCGCGAGCGTTTATCTTTTCCTGAGGCGAGGCGCCAGGTTCGCCGGCTCCTGCCTTATACTAACATCTCTTATGCTCGCGTGTTGCGCTCTTCCTCTCCTCGTCCTTCCCCCCTTCCTCAGACTCTCAACCGTTTCCGGGCCTTGGACCCTGATACGCCCACTGCCCCCTCCTCTGTTCCTTTGAGTTCTCTCCCGAGGGGTCCCCCTCCTGGTCCTCTGTCTGGGGTTCCCCTTCTTTCAACCCGGTCTGTCATGTCTCCTGTGTCTTCTTCCTCGTCCCCCTCCGATCCTCCTTCCCATCCTCTTCCTCCATCTATCGGCTCTCCCCACTGCCTGTCGGTGCGGGCGGATGTCCATCGCTCTCCTAACGGCCGTCGTGTGTGCTCTCGTTCGGCTTCTCCTGTTGAGACACTGGAATCCGTTTCCCGGTACGTAGTTGCTGGGACACCGTTCTCTTTAAGTCAGAAGCGTAAGCCTGGCTCCTCTCCTTCCTCTTCCCCGGCGGGTAAGAAGGCTTCGCTTTCTTCCTCAGCTCCTACTTCTGGCTCTGTTGCTCCTTCCCCTCCCGTTTCAGTGATTGCGCCCCCTGTTCCTGCTATGGAGGTTTCTTTGGCCCCTGCTTCTCTTTCGGTTGCTGCTCTTGCTGGGGTGCGCTCCCCTCTTTCTACTCCCCCTCTTCCTGCTGCTGTCCTTGACTGCTCCTCTCCGTTGTCTCCTCCTCTTCCTCCTCCTCCTCCGGACCCCACCCGCCCACCTCTGATCTGTTCTTCCGTTTCCTTCCATCCGTCTTTGCTCAGTTTACCCATGCCCCCTAACCCTGACTTTGCTGACCCTGATCCCGACCCTGATATTCTTTAACGTGCTCTGTTGCTCTTTCGCCTTTGTTTCTTCCTTGTTCTCTGTTTTTGTCCTTTCTCTTCTCGTCGTTGTCCATTCTTCAATGGAACGTTCGAGGTTATTACGCCAATTTCCTCGAACTCCAACTTCTGATTTCGCGGTTTTCGCCCCTTTGTGTCTGTCTCCAGGAGCCAATGCTTGGTGCTCGTCCTGGTCGTTTTCGTGGCTATTCCTTTCTCTCCCCCCCCCCCAGCCATTGCTGGGGCTTCTAATTCTTCTGCTCTCTTGATTCGTTTTTTTTTTTGTCCAACCACTTGGGCTGGACGGTAGAGAGACGGTCTCGCTTCACGCAGGTCGGCGTTCAATTCCCGACCGTCCAAGTGATTGGGTACCATTCCTTCCCCCCCGTCCCATCCCAAATCCTTAACCTGACCCCAGTGCTATATAGTCCTAATGGCTTGGTGCTTCCCCCTGATAATTCCCCTTCTCTTGATTCGTGCTGATGTTTCCTTTGTTCCTTTACTTTTTCCTTCGCCTTTCCATTGTTCTGCTGCTCGTATCTTTGTGGGGAAATGGTACACAGTTTGTTCCATTTATCTCCCCCCGAGTGTCCCGCTCTCTCTTCCTGATTTGAAACACCTCCTAGACTCCTTGCCGGAGCCTGTTCTCCTGCTGGGTGACTTCAATTGTCGTCATTCTCTTTGGGGTGACGTTCTGACGAATACCCAGGGTCGCCTCCTTGAGCCGTTTCTCCTCTCTTCTTCCCTGTCTCTTCTGAATTCTGGTGAGCCCACTCATTTGGACTCTCGGACTCGCACCCTTTCTTGTCTTGATCTTTCTCTCTGCTCTTTTTTTTTTTTTTTTTTTTTTTTTTTTTTTGAGATATATACAAGAGTTGTTACATTCTTGTACAGCCACTAGTACGCGTAGCGTTTTGGGCAAGTCCTTAATCCTATGGTCCCTGGAATACGATCCCCTGCCGCGAAGAATCGTTTTTTCATCCAAATACACATTTTACTGTTGCGTTAAACAGAGGCGCCCAATTGGAATTGCGCCCAGGAATTGCGCCCAGTAAATCCTCCCCGGCCAGGATACGAACCCATGACATAGCGCTCGCGGAATGCCAGGCGAGTGTCTTACCACTACACCACGGAGACTGCTAGACACGGTCTTCTTCTCTTTACTTAGATTTCACGTGGCAGGTTCTTGATGACCTCCATGGAAGTGATCATTTCCCCATCCTTGTTTCCTTTTTCTCTTTTCGCCCTTCCCTCTCTTTCCCTAGGTGGCAGTTTGCTAAGGCAGACTGGACCCTCTTTACCCTCAGTGCTGCTCTCTCTGACCTCTCCCTTCTGCCTCTCTCTCGCGCTCTCCTCCTTTTTCTTGACACTGTCTTCAACGCTGCCCTCCGCTCTAATCCTCGCTCTTCCTCTTGGGGACCACGGAAGTGCGTTCCCTGGTGGAATGCGGACTGTGCTCGAGCTGTCCGCTGTAAGCGTGCAGCCTGGAAGAGGCACCGCCATAGGCAGACGACCGATTCTTTTCTTTTCTTTCGGAAAGCGAGTGCGGTGGCCCGTAGGGCCATCGCTAAACGTGAATGTTGGGCATCTTATGTCTCAACAATTACGTCCGAAACCCCTCTGGCCCAGATCTGGAAGCGTATCCGCAAGATAGCGGGTAAGTTCGTTCCCGATGTTTCACCGGTCCTTCACCTCCATGATACTCTTGTGGCGGACCCATTGCAGGTCGCTTCCGAACTGGGTTCCCACTTTTCTTCTGTTAGCTCTGGTCTTCATCTTCCCCAATCTTTCCTTCTTCGTAAACCTGTCCTTGAGTTTCGTCCTTTAGATTTCTGCACTCATCTTCAGCTTCCCTATAATGATCCCTTCTCTCTCTCTGAACTTCGTTCTGCCCTGGCCCTCTGCGGTTCTACGGCGGCGGGCTCCGATGGTATTCATTATGAGATGCTTCGCCATCTCCCTCCGAGCACGTTTCAGTATTTACTGAGTCTGTATAATCGGATCTGGGAGTCGTCGTCAGTCCCTGAGGACTGGCTCGATGCCGTTGTCCTCCCTGTTCGCAAACCGGGGTCTCTGGGTACTTCCCCTAAGGACTTTCGCCCTATTGCTCTCACAAGTTGTGTCTGCAAACTCTTTGAACGTATGGTTAACGTTCGTCTGATGTGGTTCCTGGAACACCATCACCTCCTCTCCCCTTCTCAATTTGGTTTCCGCAAGTGCCGCAGCACGACAGATGTCCTGGTGAACTTGGAGGTCTATATTCGTACTGCTTTTGCTGCGAAGACCTCCGTTGTTGCCGTCCTTTTTGACCTGGAAAAGGCTTACGACACCACTTGGCGTTATCATATCCTATCTCAACTTCATTCTTTTGGCCTTCGTGGTCATCTCCCTCTCTTTCTCCGCAGCTTCCTCTCTCGTCGTTCCTTTCGGGTGCGCCTTGGTACCGCTCTCTCTCCCTCTTTTCAGCAA